ATTCTAAGTGAAATAAAACAGAACTTCCCCAAAGCTGCATAAGTTAATACATCTAAATTCTTCTCCCTGTATCCAAGAATGCAAGCTTGCTGTTGGACCAGGCTACTTTAACTCAGTGGTCCTCACACATGGTGTTCCATACGCACAGATATTTATAATTGAGCCTTAACGAGTATTCTAGGTGGATCCCCTCAAAAGTTCAGCAAAGGGGGCTTACAAGGATTTTCAGATGATATGGACTGTCAGGAGTTAGGGAAGGTTAGCATGGGCTTGGTAGATTAGCAGTTTTAATGCTCCCACACCCTCCTGTACTTCTGCCAACAGGGGCGCTCAGCCTCGTGAGCCTTTCTCTGGTTCATCATGAAGGTAGCAAGCCACTGATTAATGGATGATGTCAAGGCTGCCATGGGCCTAAAATGCCAGAGGGAGCATTCCATTTGGCAGCTGTGACATTTAAGAGTTCTTCAGATGGACACAGAAATTACTATTGAAACTGTCAGTGTTTCTAAATTTTGGTCTTACAGATCTGAACAGCTGTCATTTCAGCATGAGAATAATGTCATATTGTGCATGTGTGTATGTGTATGTGGTGTGCGCTCACACATGCATGTTGGTGTGGAGCCAGTTACTACCATGCCTGTTCACCTATTCTGCAAATGATATTTATTCTGCCAGGTGTGGTAGCTGCTGGGGAATATGGTGGGGAACAGGACTGATATGGTGTCTGTCCTCGGCTTTGCCCCACTGTGGGAGCAGGGTCACAACTCAGTGAGCTAAATGCAGAGACTATAGAAACAGAATACTCCAGGGTCACATAGGAGGGGCCAAGACAGGCTTCCTCCAGGAAGTCCAAGATGAGATCTGCGTGAGGAGTAGGGGTTAGCCAAGCAGGTGGAGGAGGTGGGATAGGAGGGAATACAGTTGTTGAGGGTCGTGACTTCTGCAGGGATCTAGAGGCAGGTGAGACCTGGACACTAAGGGGCTTAATAGAGCAGCCATCTTTTAAGTTTGAGAATTAGAAGCTGGTGATGCCTCTGTTCTTCTCTATGTGACCCTGAGCCTCCATTTATTCATCTCCAAAAGGAGAGTATTAAAATAAATGCTCTCAAAAAGGTTTCTTCCAATTCTAACGTGAACATTAGAATGCGGGTTGTTCATTTTCTAAGTTTCTCTTTTATTTTTATTTTTTGGTGGCTGGCTGGAACAGGGATCACACCCTGGACCTTGGTGGTGTTAGCACCACGCTCTGACCAACTGAGTGACTGGCCAGCCCCTACTACGTTTTCTGTAGCAGTTTTTTCCCTCAAGGCTGTTTTCTCCGACCTTTTGCACACTTCGGTTAGCTTTCCCTTCTGATGGTTAGTGAGTATGTAATGAAATAATTTAACTATTACTGTTAGCCCATGAAAAACATGGTTAAGCAGCTATATCCAGGGAACTGACAAAGAATGCATTCTGAAGTGTGGAAATGAGATTTTGATCATCTATATCCTGGTTTACCTCCAAGCTCCACTGGTATAGGGCAAGCTGTTCCTTCTAGATCAGTGCAGGTTGGAAACTTTGGTCATTGGAACAATATTGTGATGAAAGATGGGCCTTCCAGCCACTAAAAAGAATATAGTTTACCTTTTAATTCTTTTTTTTTT